CGGGCGCGCCCGCGGCTCCTCCCGGGCAGCTCCTGCGGTGAAGGCGCTTCCCGCTGCTTTTCCAGCAGGAGGGAAGCCCTGAGGCTTTCGCCTTTATTAAGGCGTTACCATGCGAGGCCGGCCCGGGTGGTGACAAGTTTTTCAACCGCCTTTGAGCTCCTCTGACGTCCGAGGGGCTGAAGTGAAAGCGAAAGACAATGTTCTATACGTGTATTCCCATTAAATTCACCTCTCAGCAGGGATCTGTGCTCTGGCAAAGTGACAAACGTCTGCTTGGGAGTGGAACGGACCACTACATTAAGTAATTAATCACTGACCAGTGGTGCTGTTTGTACAAAAGACAACAAAGCTGAGTTAAATGTAAGAATATGTAGCCTGAATTTACCAGGAATAAATGTATCCTCAGTATTTTTAAATCCTCCCACCACCAAGCACTGCAAGTCTGGGAAGTCCAGCAACGTTCACATTGTCATTTAATGACGGGCTTTTTACTCTACAGACTAAAACACACTTCTTTTGATACAGAGTTTCTCCTCTCTTTCTGTTCCTTTCCCAGCATCATTAAGAGTTGAGTTGGGTGGGACGACCTGGCTTCTAACTGGGAGCAGTGGGCCCAGGACTGTCCTGCTCTGCTCTGGTTCTCTCACAGTTCGTTGTAAATAGTCAGCAGTGGTTTGGGAAACGTGCAGAGTGGTTGTTTCTGACATCCTGATGATCCTACTCCAGGAGTTCCTTCCAACAGGCTTTTGCTTTGTGTTACCACACCCATCAGACACAACAACCAGGAGGGATCTGTTCCAGGTTGGAGTGTGTAGTTTGCACAAGATTCCGATGAAAAGAGAATTAAAAGAATCACAAAATCATCAAGGTTGGAAAAGACCTTCAAGATCCCACCACCCACCCTACAACCCCTAACCACTAAACCAGATCCTGGAACAACACGTGTACCTGTTGTTTGAACACCTCCAGGGATGGTGCCTCCACCACCTCCCTGGGCAGCCTGTTCCAAGGCCTCCCCACTCTTTCTGGGAAGAAATTGTTCCTAATATCCAATCTGAACCTCCCCTGGCACAACTTGACCCCGTTCCCTCTTGTCCTATCACTGGTCACCAGGGAGAAGAGGCAACACCCTCCTCACTGCAACCTCCTCTCAGGGAGTTGTGGAGAGACATGAGGTCTCCCCTCAGCCTCCTCCAAGCTGAATACACAGTAGTATAAAGTCACTCTGATCTGTAGGAAATTTAAAACAGCCATGTATGCTGATGTCAACTCCAAAGGTTCTCACACTTTCATCATTAATCCAGAGGTGTCCTGGGGTTCTCCTGAGAACTCAACATGCTTGTGAAACTTGAGACAAAATCTAAATGCACGACTTACCACAGGCTGGTACCAACAATGTGAAACTTCTTACTAGTTTGCACAAAATCTGATTCGTACAAAAATACTGCCCATTAGAATGAATTCCTTGTGTGAACACATTGACTGCAACAAAGCTACCAGGAAGGATCATTTTAACTAAATACATTGCTTCAAAGACAACACATGCCAGTTAATATAATTTCAGATTATCAGCAGAAAGGCTTTATTATTACACATTATTAGAATAACAATATAATACCTTAAAAGTTGATTTCTAGTAACTTTCCTGGTGACTTTTTTAAAATCATACCTTTTAATTGCAAGAAACCTAGGAATTTATTTATAGCTTTCTCTGCTTAATTTCCAGGTGTAAATTAATTGTGCAAAATACAAATACATAACAGTACTTTATTAGGTGTGTTTCTCTATCAAGGTGTTTTATTACAGTATTTTTAGCAGGTGTTCTAAAATATCTTCATACAGTCAGTATATGGAATAGATACTACCTGGTCATCCCCAAAATCAGTATTTCTGCTGGACTAGACTGCAACTATGCATAAGCTGCCTTTCAAAATAGATGTTGAAAAGATTTCCATTTTCATTGCAAAATGAATGAATTAAAGTTTGGGCTACCAAACAATTTTCTATTCTTACATTTAGTGGGAATAGGAGAGAGCTGTCAAATTTGCATTGCAAATCCATCATGAGTAATATGCTCTTGGATCCTAATGCAGAAAGTCTCATGAGAGGATCCAAAGAAGACTGGAGCCCCTTGTACAGTGTTGTACACAAGTACATGATAAATATTCCTTGTTCCAAAGACTGTGGAACACAGCACAAAATGCAAAATGCTGAGCTGGGTGGGAGGCAAAGTGGTGAAAGGTTCAATATGAGCTGAAAGGCTCCACACCTTACTGAGGCAATCCTTTGGAGTCCAGTCCTTTGCAAACACTGATCTTGTGTTTCTGAACATGATGCTTGATTTCTGGAAATCTGTGTTTGACCTTTCCTGCTGCTTAGACAAGCAGGGCCTTTTACTCACTGGGTCCAAGAGCAAAATATCCCACAGACTGCTCTTTGTCTGAAATAACCAGTATTGTATCGCATAGTGTTCCTAAAGAGGCAATCCACATCAACCCAAAACCAAACACTGAAAAGCACAATAGTACAACAAATGTCATACAGCATATAAATTCACTTTTAACAAGAATGTTTTGCACTCTAAAAGGATTTCATCAAGTATCGTCATGTTCCTACAGTAGCTTGTGTTTCTATGTGAAATAAGACCACTCCAATTAGATTAATAGAGTGTAATCTGAATTCAGCTCTCAGTTTCATCACAAAACTCTCCTTCACTGAAGCTACATGTGTAGGACCTGTGTAGCTACACTTGGGAGTGGTAGGGATGACAAAGAAGTCCTGCTTGTTGCATGGACCAGCCTGTCACAGCAACCACCCAGCAGCTCTGGGCAAGAGAGAAGGTGGGATCCCCCAGGGCTCCTAATTCCTGCTCTGCCTTCTTGTTGCAGAGAACAGACTGGCAGTTTTCAAACAGCATAACAAAGTATCATGTCATCTTGGCTCACCAGGAGAAACTGAATCTGGGAGCAGCGAGGGTGAAGGTCTAAGCGCATCTTTGTGCAGCAGGGCAGAGTTTCAGGGCTGGAGGTGTCAGCCAGCACAGACCTCACCCAAGAGCCCTGTCCCATGACTGGAGGGTGGCAGCCAGCCACTCTGCCAGCCTGATTACCCTGCATGTAGGTCAGCACATATGTCCAGCAGACCTGCCTTAGGTCTGCAGAGATCTAGGCTCTTGGCTCCTGGTGATTTCAGTGGGAAGAAGTGCCCAAGTGGTGCAGTAACTGGCTCCTGTGTTCCCAGCTGTTACTGTGACAGTTGTCTAAAAACTGCCTTATCAAGTGAATGGTTTTTGAGCTGCTCTGCAGCAACATTTCATGTCCCTGATGCACACAGATTTTTTACAGTGCTGAGAAGTGAACTACCTGTGGTGTTGGCTGTGCATCTCAGACAGCTCAGGAGTTGCCCAACATGCTGGTGCTCATCTGGAGCCAATGAACTGTGGATCTACCACTGTTTCATTTAGTATGAAATCTAATCATTTGTCCTGTTCTGGAAGATTGGTCTCTTGGTGCAAGGATCCCCAGCCTGCTGGAAGTAGTTCCTAGGCCTTCATGGAAAAAGTCATTTTTAAATGAGACACTTTAGTCACTGTC